AAAAAGTATTAGGTGTGTCCCGCGCGCTCATATGACCTTATGCAGTTGCTAGCGCCGTAAAACCCTATACTAAACAAACAAACAATAAAAGCTTTTACTTAGAGGAGACTAATTGAATGGCGACCGTGAGTAGATCTAGTGTCAAAGAGTGGACTGTAAATATTTCCAGTTACGTTATGGCGAGTGTTTTTACATGACACCTGTTTCATTGTTTTTTGTATTTATAATGTTTACAATTGGTCGCTTTTAAACACAAATGGGCTATCCCGAAGAATGCTGTATTGATAAAATCGAAGGTAGCATTTTTGCCCCTTGTTCAGTTTCTTTAAAAGACTCTTTTACCCAACAAATGCACATACCAATGAAACCAAACATCTCCTATAGATAGGGCAAAGCCCACTTTTGGTGTAGATCAAGCTATTTAGCTCTGGAAAACTCCGAAATCTGGGTTAGCCAGGTTGTCCTTAAAAGCTACCAATCATATTGTTTTGCAATCAGAGAGAACAGAAGAAAGTATCTTGATGTTATGAAAATATGTTTATTGAAGATTTTGGTTGAATCGTAATAAAGAATGTCCAAAGAAACATAGATGAAAAGAAAAAACCCCCCCAAGCAAACAAGCAAAGAACTAGACAGAAACATCAATATGAACACAGAATTGATATGATGAACCACATGTATTTAAAATTTTGTTATACATACAATACATTATGTGAATGGGGTATAGTTTCAACGATAAGACTTGTCAATTCTTAGCAAACTATCTCTATGAGTATCTAAGGCTTTGCTACCGTGCTTTGTCTCAATGAAATTTCGAATTATAACTTCCAAGTCCTAAATTGTTGGCCATTAATTTGAAACAGAAGCGGTTGTACTAGCTGTCTCACCGTTTGTGTCTTGTGTGCAAAAAGTCGGTCTGTACAAAAATTTCTCATTGGGTTTATTTTGACAAATTCGTTTGAAATCAAAGACATCTTTAGTTAATTTCCAAAAGTCAAATAATTTAAAGTTGGTGTAAATTGTGGTATAAAATTGACCACCCCCCTCCTTCCCGTACCAAAACAAAAGCAAAAAGAATAATTGAACAGTCGCTGACACTACTACTACACTGTATTTGTACTTATTTCTTTATTATTGCGCTAAAATTGTTTTGAAAAATTGACAACAGTGGACTGATACATTCGCCCTGTATGGTACTACTTACAAGGAAAGCAAGAAACAAACAAGCAAATGATCGGTAAATAAACACATTAAAAAAAGAATTAGAGGAGGGCGTTTGAACAACGCAGATCGTTATCTACTGGCCGGATTTTCATTTCGCTGAAGCTGACAGAGTCGTAGAAGCCGGTCAATGGCCTCCAGTTCAGGCCTTCTCCATACTTCTTGCTTCCCCAGACGCCGTTCAGATGAGCTTGGTGACACTCCAGGTACCACCAGCCTCCGTGGAAGTCTCTGGCACAGTTTTCATTCGATGTGTCGTGGTCACTGTCGCTGGTGGAGAATGCATGACCATTGACCCGCAACATCGTGTCTGTAGTATCTCCCGAATATCCAGATATCTGGATAGTGTAGTACTCCGGTTCTCCCAAGAGAGAGAAGCTATTGTAATTAGCGTGGTAGTTCTTTTCTTCGTAGGAGATGTCAATTCTCAGTTCATATCTTTGCTGTGGACGAGAAGGCGACAAAGGTAAAAGGTCATCCACATTTACCCAGTTATGACATCAGACCCCCCACCCCCATGACGTTAGGTAACCACTCATGACGTCACGTACCCACTATTTCACTTCATGCACCCATTCATAACGTTATACACCCACTCATGACGTCACATTTTCATCCATGACGTCACTTACTAACTCGGGACGACAAGCACCTGCTCATAACGTCAGGTAGTCGGCCATGATGTCACGTACCCACCCATGACGCCACGTATTTTCTCATGACGTCACACACAGGAATAGCGTACAAATTATGAGCCACAGCTACAGGAAACAGACAGTTGGAAGGAGGTGTAGTGCGTCTGAATGTCTGCTCAAATTAAGTCCCGTAGTGACCAGTCACTACTGGGAAAATCAGGACCTGTCACTTCTCTGGGCTGCGGGCCTACAAATATACATAGACAAAACATCGGGACCCAATCTGTCCATTGTGCAGCCAGGAGCCCCAAGATTTGGAGCACTGGCTACAGAGATACCCCGTCACGGAGGTCCGGCGGTGGCATCTCTTTGGAGAGGATTCAGGGAGGTGCCCACTACCCAAGAGAGGTGGTAACCCTGGCAAAGAACACGCTCTTCGGGGCTCCAAACAATTCGAATGGATAGGCTACCACACACACCCACATACACAACGACAACAACGACAACACCAGCAATAGCATCATCAGCACCAACAATAACTAAACTACAACGACAACAGGGACTGCCCTTGTAACTGCCATAATAGCGCAGATACGTGTAATCTATTCCTACTCGTCAACTTTTCCTTCTGTTTCCACTACTCTTACAAACAACAACAATAACAACAGCAACAATGACACCAACAATAATAATAATAATAATAATAACAACAACAACAACAACAACAACAACAACAACAACAACAACAACAACAACAACAACAACAACATCACCACGAGCGATGACAACGACGACAACAACACCACGTCAATTACAGCAACAACATCACCATCACCACCACCACCACTACCAACAAAAAACAACAACGAGGAAGATGTAAAAAAAAATACGTTTGAATGTCAAGGAACAATGGCAATTCAAATGGAATTATTTGTACGAGTGGAGGTGCCTCTTAGTATAATGGCAATTGAGCCGAAAAAGGGCCTCGATCGCTCTCGCTCGAAGATTTCTTCGTGGAGTCCACAACAAGGCCCATTAAGGAAACAACCCCCCCCAAAAAAAAACAAAAAACAACAACAACCAAACAACAACAACAACAACAAAACAAAAAAACCCAACAAATACCAACAACATTACATTACAAAGCACAATGACGTGTTGCACAAGAGCGAAGAGTTACTGACCATGCTAGTCAGTTTGTGGATTTTCTCCAGACCCATCCAAAAGTTTCCATAGAGGTCACCGAAGCCGTACTTGTACTCGACCCAGCCGCGGTAAAAGTCCACATCAGCTGACGCACGTCTCTGAACATGGATTGTGACATGATTGTAAAATGAATACAACACGATTGTAAAATGAATGCAATATGATGTAAAATGAATGCAACATGATAGTAAAATAATTGTAAAACGATTGTGAACTGATAGTAAAATTACAAAAATGGATACAACTTGATTGTAAAATTAATGGATACAATTATTGAAAAAAATGAGTTCAAAGTGATTGTAAAATGAACGTAAAATAATTGTAGAAAGATTTAAAATGAGTCCAGAATTGTCGCAGATTAGCTGTAAACTGTTGATAAAATCATTGAACAATTACGAAATATTAAAATGCTCTAGATTTATATATCCGTAATCTACTTTTGGAAATGAATCAAGACCATAGAGTTATCTCCTTTTAAACTAGAGTCCGTACGAGGTCACGTGACACGGAAACATTTGAGTTTGTTGGCGGCCATATTTCAGTGGGCGAAAACGTTTGTTTACATGTGAGTGGGCGTGTCTCTGCTCTTACGTGTTTTATTTAATTCTAACCTTATGTTTTAACCCAAAGTGATTCTCTGAAAAGTGCAAGCATGTGAAACTGTAGATCTAGTCCCTTTCTGGATTAACGTCTTTTTGAGCTTTGATTAGAAATCACAGTTGAGTATGGATTATCTCTTGTACGCAGATGATACACAGTTGTATAAATCTGTTCCACCACCAGATGTTAAAACCTTGCCTGCCACCATGGGTATGTGCATTGATGATGTTAAGAACTGGATGATTGATAATAAGCTCCAGCTTAATGAAAATAATACTAAAACTCGTTTATGTAACCCAAAGAAAAGCCATATTCCCATAGACGTCGATATTCTAGATATCTAGATCTAGATCTAGAATCTAGATCATGTTTGTACGATGTGTAATCGTGTGCGTGAGATGTGTGTGTGTGTGTGTGTGTGTGTGTGTGTGTGTGTGTGTGTGTGTGTGTGAGCGCGCGCGCACGTGCGTGTGCGTGGGAGTGTTTGTCTGTACTGTATGTACATGTGTGTGTGTATGTGTGTGTGTGTGTATGCGTAACTGTGTGCGTGTGTGTGTGTGTGCGTGTGTGAATATTGTTCATACATGCATTTATGTGGATTCTAAAGCACCTAGAGCTGGGTTTGTGGGCGCTATAGTAGTAGTAGCAGCAGCAGCAGCAGCAACAGCAGCAGCAGCAGCAGCAGCAGCAGCAGCAGCAGCAGCAGCAGCAGTAGTAGTAGTAGTAGTAGTAGTAGTAGTAGTAGTAGTAGTAGTAATAATAGTAGTAATAGTAGTAGAAGATCTACAGCTTTAGATACTTTCTTTACAATAAAACGAGACCAGAAAGGATGGTGCAACACTGCTGTGTTTAACTTATCAGTGTGCTAACAGTCAGAGACTGGCAAGAATAAGATTGATAAGAATTTTGACAGATTAGATCCCGATCTATGTTTTGAAGAAAATATTCGAAAAGATTAAGAGCCTGGTCTGATCAAAGCCTACCTTTCAGTTAATTGATATCAAATCTAACCACTGCAATTTTGCCTCGTCTTTGTGTTTAAATTACTTACTTAAACATCACAAAATCCAAGCTAGATCTACTAATCTGAGGCACAAATTTCACTCACTAGACAATGACTCAATGACTTAACATATATATTAAACATAGTAATATAACAGTATCATCAATTATAATTATTTTTATGGGATGATGATGGATGAGAGCAGCCAAAGATAGGCTAGTGTCTAAAATGCTTGATGTATAGTATAGGATAGATCTAAGCTTATTAGTGACAAAGGAAACCATAGTCCTGAGTGCGCTTGGTGCTGAGCTTGCTATATGCACAGCGTATAATATGTGTTTAGCACATTTTCTATTGTTCGAATGAATTTAAACTACCCATCACTGCTTCTGTCAGGCAGATCAGTGATGTCTGTTTTCTTTTATTACATCATCTATTTTTAGCTCATAATATGTCTTATAGACACAAATAGTCACCCCGGTTGTTTTTTTAAATATAAAGAGCTATCAGCAAGGTTCGGGGCCATTAGAGTTAAGGTTGACTAGCAGCTAGATCTTTTTCACAACGGACAGGTAATTTCTTTATCAAACAGTGTACTTTTTAATGTTTTGTTTCATTGAATGTTGTCCAAAAAACACAATTAGTAAAGGTTTTTGTTTCTGTTATCACTACTCTGTGTAGAAAAACAATTGACCAGGCTACAAAACAACACTAAGTTCACTTTTTTATCTTTAGGGAGTCCATAGTTGTCACAGTTGTTTTACGAATGTCTAAAATTAGACTTACTTAAAACAGCAATAGAAGGAGCTTTAGTTTAAGTGCTGTAAATGGTCTACTTTAGTTCTTAAAATCAATATAAATCACCAAAGTTTAATACATACAGAATAAAGCACTACTTATTTGGTATACTTTTAAAAAAATAACTGAATGTAAGAATGAAAAATAGGCCTACAGTTCCCTGTTCAAATGTCACAAGTGAAAGTTTAACTCGATTTTTTAAATACTAGTAGATCTACATGTATTCATAATTTGTTTGGCTGAATTTGCTTTATGAAGAGCTTTAGCCTTCGCACACCTAATGGCAGAAAAACTCTGGATTTCTTTCTATGGCTCATATCTTGATTTAATTTAAAGCCAGCCAAACTTGGGTTGGGGGAGGGGGGGTATTGGGATTCGGGAGGAGAGAGAGGGTGGGGTGATTGGGAGGTTCCATGACACCCACATCTTTTCATACTTCTTTTTAAAAATTCTATAGGCCCTATACGCTTTGATTCAGTCATTAAGAAATAAACCACTTCGTAGATTAAGGGCTGATGAAGAAATAAAGGGGACTTTTTTTTCTTTTTTAAAAGTTTTATAGATCTATCCCTAACTCTATCTATTTAATAATACATTTGTAGATCTAGTTATAGAAAGAACGCTGTATTATTGCTATTTAGAAACCTAGATAGCACGCCACGGCGCCCTTGTAAAAAAAATAAAAAAATTAACAAGGACCAAGCCTCGCCTATCGCGTATGAGGGAGAAAGAAAACATGCCTAGCCCATTGCTTTAGCTTGAACTCCTTCACGCATCTCGCCCACTGAAACATGGCAGACGCCGCTGTCAAATGTGGCCATCGCGCAGCAAGGCGAGAGAGGGGCGTACTGTATCTAGTTACTATAGTGTACATCTATGATCAAGACCTAATAAACGTCTTAAAGTGTGTTAAAAAATTGGTGGCGCAACTTATTGTCAAATATCTCCTCAACTATGGAACATAGACTCTCCAGTTTTTGCAGTGTGACTTTTATCGATTTGTCTTAACAGATTAACGTTTTTTAAACACCTGTTAGCTCTTTTCTAGAAAATTCCTTAATAAATAGGCCCTACTAATAAAAAATCCCAGTGGATTATTTCTACTGATTTTAAAAGGTTTACAGCTGGGACAATATCACTTTTAAAAGCAAGTCTGTACACAGTTTTTTTCTAATCGCGAGATTGCCTTTATTGAACGCATGTTTCGAGAACTTTTAGTGCAAAAGAGTATTTACAAAAAAAAGTAAATTTCTTGTAACTTTTTTGCCACTAAAAAGTGTCAATGGTGAGTTGTGACCTAGGCCATACATGCGTATGCAAAATGTGTGAGGTGTGAGGGAAGCGGGTAGCGCTGTGTACAATCCCATTTTCCACGTGAAGGAGATTTGTAGTACAATGTATTTCATATTAATCTATGAAGAAAGTTAAAAAAAAAAATTTAGCTTCAATTGTTGGGGAAAAAAGTTAAGACAAATTGATACAAATTGCTGTGCAAAATATGGGTAACACTGAGATTCACCCGTTAAAAAGATTTTTGAGGATAAGTTGCGCCAGGACTTTTTTGACCGCACTATGAGGGATGTGGTCTCGATTTTATAAGCTTACCTGAATCACGATCCATCCTCCGTTATCGGTCTCAGTGTCGCAGACAACTTCAAGGCCGTTAAGCAGGGTCACCACCGGGCGGGGTTTCGACACTTTCACGTCTGCACACGTTATTGGCTGAACAGAAAACACAGTGAAAGATAACTTAGTCGGTGTCTCTATTAACAAATAATTTTTAGTTCATGTTTGAAGAAAACTTAACTGAATACTATGTGGAAAACTGCGAGCAGAGACAGTTCATTTTGTTGCAACATAAACATTACGCAAGATGTATGAAAAATGTAGTGATTTTGAAATGATAAATGTAGATTTCCATGATCATTTAATGGATAAAGGCAGGAACCAATCAATTAGATAGTAGCAGTTAGTCTGCCTCTCAGTCAGCTTATTCATTAGCCTATTAGCGCCAGTTTAATTACTTTAACATTGTCAATAGGCGTCTAGAGTTTCTAATCTAGTCCTGTCGAAGTGGTGGAACACAAATTAAAGTGAATCTCCAATAGAATTGATAGAAGGGTGTCGGAATCCCGTTTTTAGTAATTTGTGGCAATCGAAGAAAACCAGACTGTTTAGGAGTCGGGCTGCTTCCACCTAGCCTTTGTTTAGGAGACTGGAATAGATTATCGTGACAGAAGGATAATATGGAAATAGGAGTTTCTGTTGTAACTTGTCTTTTGCCTCCCGTAGTACGGCAATGTCTGGCATAATAGGTGTACAGTTATACAACTGGGAGGAAAACAAAATGGCAAGATTTGATCGATAAAAAAATAGCGAGAAACATACATTCAATTGCATGTACTGAGCTCTAAAACATCAAGATAACTATTCTCTGGCCACGTTTTCCAGCTCAAAGTCAGGTCCAAAGTCTAGCTGCTATATTCTCTCTCTCTCTCTCTCTCTCTCTCTCTCTCTCTCTCTCTCTCTCTCTCT